AACTAACAAATTGGTCTCAACTACGACGACCACAAATACTTAATCCATGAGAACATTGATAGACCAATAAATGATCAACCTTATATACAAGGTACGTGAAGAAACTCATGTGAAAAAGGATAAAGTACAAGTGATATATGTCATGGTTAAGAATGTCAAATGTTTTTGAAGATTTCTATTGGAAAAGTTGTAAAAATTGTCTAAGCAAAACTCTAGTTAGGAAACTTTTGTGACTCACCTCTCTTTCTTGAGAGAATACTTAGTCTACTTTCCACAATATTTCTTTCTAGAAAACTTTTATGCACCACGCAACTAGCAATTTTGGTGGTCCCAATAACAACTTATGTCATCCATCGTCAAAAGCCCAAAGATTGTTACATTATTGCATCCTCACACCTCCTCACCGAAAAGGGAATCATCCACTACTAAAGCTCGATGAGATGTCATAGAGAAGGCAACGCTCTAACGAGGAGCACAACGAGGAGGATTGTTAACTTGATCTGCAAATACGAGAAGAAATAATGAAACAAGTTGTATGGTGATAAAACAAGCAAGTAAAGGAGTAAGCTTTTCACAAAGGCGACTTGGCGAAATCTCAAAGAAACAAGAAGAGACAAACTTGAAGGAAAGTTGTCACCTAACTTGATGACCATTACTTCACAAATGATGCACTTTAGAAAGGATCATACAAGCTTGAAGATCTCGGTGACAAACAAATATCGAGGACATGGAATGCCACTTTAAAGATGCACTACTGATGTTACATTTGAGTATATATGTACTCTTCCTTAGCTCATATTTTATCCCTAAGTTAGGTTTTGTTAGACAAGGTTCTAACTAGTTACATCAAACATTAACATTAATAAAATTCCTCTTTTTTACATATGATAACATTATGTGTTTTACAATCACTACTCGAGGAAATCCAAGTAGAAATGAGCATTCGAATATGTGACTACTCAATAAATTTGAGCATGAACATCTGGATACGTGATTACTCGGTAAATTCAAACATGAGGGTCTAAATATGTGACTACTCAATAAATTCGAGCATAAAAGTCTGAATATGTGATGACTCGCTAAATTCGAGCATGAGCATCCAAATATGTGACTACTTAGTAAATAAAAACATGAGCGTCTAGATATATGACTAGTTGGTATAACTGAGCATCCAAATATGTGACTAATTAGTAAATTCGAACATGAATGTCTAAAAATGTTATTAACACAAGAATAATTTAAGCGTCCAAAAACATGACTACCTTGGTAAATCTGAAAATTCAAAATAAAATATAAGGTATGTCAAACCGTGTCCAGAAAATATTATAATTGTGGATAACTCAGCATGAGCTAAAAATAACATATAAACTTGTTCGTTTAATAATTTGATTCATATGTAATAGTTATTAACTTTTGAGTTTAGGGAACTTATGAACCTACCCGACCTATATTTAGAATATTAATATTATTTGCTAGACCCTAAAAGGGTCCAACAAGCAAAAGACTCAAGAGTGAGATCCATATATTAACCTCTTTAAAATAAGAGAAAGATAATATTCATAAGATATATAATATTATATATCTCATAAAAACATGACCCATTAATAATATTTATTTGTTATTCATATGCCTAAAAGGGCTATGAATATAGGCTATCATATAAGATCCGCAAAAAAT